CTTTTGTAACATAAATCAAACTAAACATACATACCTCTGAATGAACAAGAAATCAATCAAGATTGTTAACAACAATCAGCAGCAGGTAGAAAACCCGCCACCTTTCCTGTGAGAAACGGGTGTGGTTAATTAAGTGGTATGCAGCTTAGTAGCCGACCAATCGTTGATAAGTCTTCGTTGAATCAACCAATCGTTGATTGGTGTTGCTGTTGCTGTGGATTAAACAAGGGAAGCCAGGTAGAATTCTGAATTTATTTGTTTTTCAGGAAAAAAAGATAGAAATAATAAAGTTAGATCCCTCTTTCTTAGATATAGTTTCTGTTTCTCCTGTAATTTCATACTGGAGTAGATTATTTAAAAATGTAAATTTGGAAAAGATTCGGTCCTTACCACAAAAATATTTTTTTAACAAATAAAGTTAAAGAAGTATCCTTCAAAATAATAAATACATTTTACCCAGCTAAATATTTCATGATTAAATATAAGAGTAATATTGACACAAGATGCTCATTTTGCCAAGTTCACACAGAAACTGTTTATCATTTATTTTGGTCATGTTTCTATACTAAACAACTATGGGAAAGTAGCCTATTGACAAGTTTATTAAAGATAATATCCAGCAAGATATATCAGTAACCTTTAAAGACATTATTTTTGGATACTTTGACTCTGATCCCGATAAAAAAGCCTGCTTTGTTACCAATTTAATTTATTTTATTGGGAAATTCTATATCCATAAATGTAAATTCTCCAACAACAAACCAATTTTTATAGTTTTTTTTTAAAGAGTTTGAAATGTACCTTAACACCATCTCATCCTCAGTAAATAAGAAAGCAATAAAAACACTTTTATTTTGTAATGACTTTAATTTGGTTAGTCCTACTATAAAATTTTGTATAGAATATCTTGCTCTCTTGATCCTCATTTTATTTATTTATTTATTTTTCTCTAATTCTTCTAATTCTCTTTCTTTCTTCTTCTTTGTTTTTTTAGTTTTTATGTTCTTTGTTTTGTTTTTGTACTTGTGTTAAGATGACTCTGTACCTTTTGTTATCATATTTTGTACAGATATGTTTGCAATTTTGTTACGTAATTGTATGCTATGATTGTCATCTTTGTTTGTTTGTAAGCATAATAAAAAAAAATCCTGAATCTATTTTGTGCATTATTAACGCTTGTGAAAACGCTTAATGAGAAATTTAGCTCATTGCTTTAACTCTGTCTTGCTTATAGGCCTACACATCAATGGGTGTCCAGCCACATCAAATTTTCTATATCTGTCTTTTAATATCACTGTCTTAGTACAGTAAGCCACGTTAAGCATTTTCTCATGACGGTTTCAATGGGAAGAAAATGCTTAACGTGTTATTAATCGCGTTGCGTTGATATCTTGGACTCATCTTATTTTTTTATACATAGTATGGTTTATTAATATGATGTGTACTGAATTTGGTCTTTTAATATCACTGTCTTGGTACAGTAAGCCACGTTAAGCGTTTTCTCATGACGGTTTCAATGGGAAGAAAATGCTTAACGTGTTATTAATCGTGTTGCGTTGATATCCTGGACTCATCTTATTTTTTTATACATAGTATGGTTTATTAATATGATGTGTACTGAATTTGGTCTTTTAATATCACTGTCTTGGTACAGTAAGCCACGTTAAGCGTTTTCTCATGACGGTTTCAATGGGAAGAAAATGCTTAACGTGTTATTAATCGTGTTGCGTTGATATCCTGGACTCATCTTATTTTTTTTATACATAGTATGGTTTATTAATATGATGTGTACTGAATTTGGTCTTTTAATATCACTGTCTTGGTACAGTAAGCCACGTTAAGCGTTTTCTCATGACGGTTTCAATGGGAAGAAAATGCTTAACGTGTTATTAATCGTGTTGCGTTGATATCCTGGACTCATCTTATTTTTTTATACATAGTATGGTTTATTAATATGATGTGTACTGAATTTGGTCTTTTAATATCACTGTCTTGGTACAGTAAGCCACGTTAAGCGTTTTCTCATAACGGTTTTGTATGGGAAGAAAATGCTTAACGTGTTATTAATCGTGTTGCGTTGATATCCTGGACTCATCTTATTTTTTATACATAGTATGGTTTATTAATATGATGTGTACTGAATTTGGTCTTTTAATATCACTGTCTTGGTACAGTAAGCCACGTTAAGCGTTTTCTCATGACGGTTTCAATGGGAAGAAAATGCTTAACGTGTTATTAATCGTGTTGCGTTGATATCCTGGACTCATCTTATTTTTTTATACATAGTATGGTTTATTAATATGATGTGTACTGAATTTGGTCTTTTAATATCACTGTCTTGGTACAGTAAGCCACGTTAAGCGTTTTCTCATAACGGTTTTGTATGGGAAGAAAATGCTTAACGTGTTATTAATCGTGTTGCGTTGATATCCTGGACTCATCTTATTTTTTATACATAGTATGGTTTATTAATATGATGTGTACTGAATTTGGTCTTTTAATATCACTGTCTTGGTACAGTAAGCCACGTTAAGCGTTTTCTCATAACGATTTTCTATGGGAAGAAAATGCTTAACGTGTTATTAATCGCGTTGTGTTGATATTCTGGACTCATCTTATTTTTTTATACATAGTATGGTTTATTAATATGATGTGTACTGAATTTGGTCTTTTAATATCACTGTCTTAGTACAGTAAGCCACGTTAAGCGTTTTTCACGTTAAGCGTTTTAGAATGTCCCCTACAAAATACACATTTTTCGACGAATAAAGACGATATACATTCACATGTATAACTGTATGATATTATAGAAACGTAATCTACCCTTTTTAACTATATTTTAAGAATTATACAACTGTATAAACCCGCCGTTCAAAATAGCGCGCGGGCGGCAATTTGAAACAACGGAATAAGGCCTCATTAACACAAAACTTGGATTATACACAAAAATAACGACATTCAAGCATATTACATGACTTAACTTGGCATTAAAACATGTCATCCACTGGTATTGATCAAAATTTCAACTTAATGTATTATATATTGACACTTTACTTCGGAGCTCATTTACACATACCTGTCTAGCTCAAATCCAAAGCTGTTCTAAGCTTTGAGCGAGACGCGATTGGACGACACAAGTGGAAATGACGTCACTTAGCTATAAAACTCATTACATTATTTTAAAACAAAAACATTTTTCCCATATTTTATACAGAGAATGAACAGCAATATATGCAAAGAAATAAAAAAAACATCAGAAATTAATTCAAAATTTGCTGGAACAATAACAAAATTCAAAACACTACATAAACCAGGCTGGATTTGTCAACTCTAAACCTACTCTAACATGCCATACATTTAACCTTTCATTCTGAAAATGGAACTGAAATCACATAATAACACAAATGTTCAAGGGACTATCAAATTTGTTTCTGAAACTGAGCCAAACTTTATGAGTCCCAAAGACAGTGAGAACTTGTTCTGAGAATCAGAGTTGTATAAAGTAGAAGTAGAAAGTAGAAATTCTGCCATGTCTTACTTCCAGCCATGAACGGATTGACAGTTGATTAGGGCTGATTTCAGTCATCTCCTGACTGAAAAACTGCTAATAAGCAAATACAGGTGATTGGAACAAAATACTGAGGCGGACTTTTACTTTCTGAACCTGGACTTTACTCCTCTGAAGAGAATAGAAAAGTAAGTAAGTAATACTTTATTAAACCCCAAGGGGAAATTCTTTGTCACAGTTGCCCACATATATAATAAACAACAATAAAAATTATAAAACATTCCGTAATATGGATAAGTAATAATAAAACATATTCATAAAATGAAATATTACAATGAACAATGAAATAAATAACCACTAGAATAACATTAGTTTGAAACAACTCATATTAAACAGATAATTTTGTACAGCAACCAAATATAAACAATTTAAAAACTCACTAAATAATTTTCCTAACGAAGAGTTATACAGCTTGATGGCCACTGTCAGAAATGACTTCCTGTGGCGCTCAGTGGTGCATTTCGGTAGAATAAGTCTAGCACTGAAAGTGCTCCTCTGTTTGAGTACCAGATCATAGAGTGGATGGGAGACATTATTCAAGATGACTTTTAGTTTGGACAGCATCCTCCTCTCTGACACCACCGATAATGAGTCAAACTTAACCCCCACCACATTACCAGCTTTACAAATCAATTTATTCAATTCGCATCTGCCTCCCTGTTAGCAAGGCTGTGAATAACAAGTTTAACTTGTTAGCAACATTTTAGTGGTTCTAAAACATGATTATCAATATTTTTCTTATAGTCCAAAATATTTAATAAAAATTATTCTGATCAAATCACTTTCCAATGCATTTATTTAGAAACACAGACATCAATAATCAACCTTTGTATCTCAACTGTGGTGACCACATAATCCTTGTTGCCACCAATCACAACTCATTAATGGCTCCCATCATGCATTGTGGTATGAATAAATTATGATCTGAAATGTCTATGTAATTTACTTTTCCTAATTGAATATTCTGCTCGTCACCGTTGTTGAGAAGCATTGACTGAATCTTGAGCTCTGTGTGTGCCTTCAATAAAGTTTTTTTTTTTTTTTACAACTTTTAAAAAAATCCTTCACATTAAATCTCAAATTCTGGGTATTTATGCATCTCAGTTATGCTGTATCCAACTAAATAAATCACAAATACTAAATTCAAATGACGATATTCACAATATAACCAAAACTATTAATTTGTATGTTTTTTTTTCTTTGTTCATCTGACTGTTTTAACTCTAAATCTAAATCTAAAGTTTATAATATAAGGGTCAAGAGCCCAACTAAAGCAAACACTGATCTACATAATGGTGACCTGAAATTCCGGGTTTCTCCTTCAGTGATTCTGCTTGTTATCATCGGGTGTCTTCAATAGTGCTCAATCATCACTCAATTAATCACTTAATTGTCACCATTTTATATATATTTGTCACCATTATTGAGATCAACAGGCTGATTCTCGATGTCTTAAAAAATAATAATAATAAAAAAAACTTTGTATGTGATTAAATTTTAAGAAAAGATTTGAAGTAACAGGTACAAATATTATGATTTTCAAGAACAGTTCATCTGGCTGTTGTAACTCAGGTACAGCAACCAAAGAAAGATCTGAAGTTAATCATGTAAGGCTCAAGAGCCCAACTAAAGCAAACACTAATCTCCATAATGGTAACCTAGTACGGTTTTCTCCTTCAGAGATTCTGATGAGTTAAACCTCTGTTAATGCTCAATAAAATCTTCTGTAGAAATCTGACAGAAATAAAGTCAGTCTGGTTAGTTGTTGGCCCTCAGCCGTCCTGTATGCCGGTCGTTCCCGGTGGAAATTGTAGTCCAGGGCTGCGAACACAACTTTCGTGTCATACACTCGGGGAGTGAAGGCCTGGCGCTTGCTGGATTCTAGGGGTGTAACGGTACACAAAAATCACGGTTCGGTACGTACCTCGGTTTTAAAGTCACGGTTCGGTACGTTTTTGATACAGCAAAAAGAAAGAAATGCCAGAGAAATTTCCTATTTGTTTAAAGAAAATATATTTTTAAATAAGTGTGAGTTTTCCTAGATCTTGAAACTTTCAGGTTTATAAATGGGGGTCATCTTTGAAGGATGAGCAAATAATGTTTTGGTCATCACATTAAAAATAACATTTAAATATATATTTATTTATATAATATTTGAATTTTGAAGTGCTGGAAAAAGATGTGTGAAGTACTTGAAAGCATTTCACCATTCCAGCCAAACTGGTTCCAGTTAGTGTTACAATATTAAATCCATGGTGAATGTCGCTGGTCTGTGGACGTAAAGTACTAGTTCATTCACGGCACAATGTTTCTCCGCGTCAGCACGAATTTTGCCGGCAGGAAAAATGGTCCAAGCAATCGTTCGGTTTGTATGCGTACCGAACCGGAAGCCTCGAACCGAAACGGTTCAATACGAATACATGTACCGTTACACCCCTACTGGATTCTGAAAAGACTCGAGATGTGCTGTCGATCTGGACAAATTAAAAAATAGGTTTAGACTCTTTAAAAAAACACACCCACACATGACATACGTATCATTTAGATTTCTTTTAAAATGTCATGTCTCCACGCTTTACCTGAAGCGCAGATACTTGTGGACATCCTTCTGCCAACGCTTGTTGAGGACGATCTCCACAAGCGCTTTATGGCTCTTTGAATCTCTCTCAATCCACTCTTTATCCTGAGTGTCTTCAAGATGGTCGTGTTGGCAGCTTCCTGTTTCCCAGGTGTGATTGTTGCAAACATGATGCACAACTCCAATCCAAAGTGCCTGAGGAAAGTAAAACAATTAAACAAAAACATTATCATATCACAGGTTTTTGAATCATTGCATTATTATCATTTATTTATATTATAACATTCTTCCTGCTTACAAGAAACTGCTCAAATGTTTCTGCCGTCTTGCAGCACCACCAGAAATGGTTAACTATATATCCCTATAGATTGGGATAGATTGGGAATAGATTGTCCTTTCACCTTTCCCGCCTTATGGTAATTAACAAAACAGAGACAATGGAAGTTGGTCCTTGTAAATATTTTGATGGAGACCTAACATAACAAAATTATTACACCGACATGCAGGAAGGTACAATTCTTTACAAATGAAATTAGATGTATTAGAACTTACGGTTGCTATTTTTTTGCACAAATTTTTGGCACCATGCCACATGTCCAGGCTGTGGTAAATTTTCAGATCCTTATATCTTCCTTTATCTGGGTCTTTGAACTATAGAATCATATCTCAATCAGCAATTCAATATTTCTATTCAAATGTTTTATTATTTGACCACTTACTCAAAAGGGCTCCAATCTGGACATGAGCATCCGTGCAGAACTCCACTACCTTGATCTCTTGCGTAAGCTTGTCCACTGTCTGGATAAAACCCTCCTTCTCCATGATGTTGGAGTTCCAGTTGGTCTGCCGCTTGTCTATAGTGGCCACATGGATGATTTCCTTAAGAGTCAAGCTCCATGGTTGTGTAGCTACAGTATTGGGCAGAATGCCCTGGTGAGTCATTTCTGCCATCACCTAAAGAAAAAGGAAATACAGGTAATTTCAAAATACTAAACCTATATGATAAGATGATTGCAAAAGTAGTTTAATTGTTTAATACCATAACAATTAATGGAGAACAAGTTCAAATATATAATTACCCACCTAGGAGCACAACATCTTTCCCTTTTAGTCGGCTGATGGACTCAGACCTCTTCTCTTCCCAAAAATCTTTAATAGTGTCAACACAGTAGGTGTCCTGGATTGTGTAGTGTGTGTTGGTGTTTACCATTTGTATGTTCATCAATTTAAATAGGAGAGCAACTTTAGTGTAGTTGTTTCCAGAAAGTAAAATGTTAGTGGAAAGAAGAAAGTCCCCAGCCTGCATGCCAAACTTCAACACAGGCTGTGAATTCCACCGCCATAGGCAATGTCCATTGGGGCACATCTGGTAAGATAAGGGTAGCGTTGTAAAATTCATAAGGCATGAACAGTGCCATTTGTTACGATACATTTTGATGTGATGTGAAAGGCTTACCCATTCAACACTCATTGCAGTGCCCCTGATGCCGATGTTTGTTGAAAATGGGGCAACACTGTCACACACTAAACCAGTCCTCAAGACACCAGTGTATCTGTTCACGGGAAGAGTTAAAAATGTGACAAGCTGCCTCAAGCAGTTCTCATTGAGCACAGCTGCTCTAACGCCAATAATGTCATCCTCTCTGAGGACCTTCTGAGGGCCTGGCAAAATCGGCAGCTCGAGACTCAAGGGCTCATCGAGAGGGACTTCAGGGGCAGGCAGATCATGCACAGTCTCATCAATCTCAATAGTTGGCAGATTGTCAATTACCTGTGCTCCCTTCAGTGCACCACCCATTCTGGAAGAGAAGAACTTCAGGGATCATACACAGTTCAATTGAATTATTTCCAAGTTTTTCCGGCATATAACCATGATCAAATTTATTACCTGAGACATCAGTGTGAACTAAAAGAATTCAAAAACATTCCAAAATAGCCCTGAACATTTTTTACATGTAAAAACTCAGCATATAAACAAAGTAAAAAGAAGTAATAGATAATGACTCACCGCAATGAAATTGTTGGAAGGTATTCCTCATCAGAGCTGTCGGGAGCACAACAAATTGCCTTTCGGGACATTAAAGTTTTCTAAGTCTAAGTCTAAGAAGTTCAAGGTTCCCCCACAATTGCAAGCTCCAGGAACCTCAAAAGGTTCATTTTTGAACCTTTTCTTCTTAGATAATAATTTGTTCATGAGACCTTTGAGAACTGAATCTTGTAACCTTAATGCTGTGACTGTCTCTTGAGTTGTTTACTCCTCTGCTACACAAGGACAGCCGAGGAGCGACAGCGACAGCTGTGCCCATTTGAAAATGGCTTTGTGAAAGTCACATGATTTTAGAGAAACTGTACAGTGTTACAAGATAATTTTGGATGTTGGATGTGCAGTGGGGGTAGTCACAAATTTTGCCCTCTTCAACTGAGGCGAAGAGAATGTAATATATTACATTCTGTACATTCTGTAATATATACTATCAAGAATGTAATATATATATATATATATATATATATATATATATATATATATATTATTCAGTATGCATGCACTATAATCCACAGCTACAGAGCTATTTTTTATGCTGTTGTTATTATTAATTTGACAGTTTTTTCTAAATTGCTAAAAACACATTTCTTGAAACACTCACCCACTTTCTCAAAATCTTAACCGCAAAACCAAATTTTCAAACCACATTCAGAGAAACTCTGACTCTATCTGTGCTCAATATCAAACAATGCTCTCAGATCATACACACGGCGAGTCAATATCAAGTCAAGTCACATTATTTATATAGCGCTTTTTACAATACAGATTGTATCAAAGCAGCTTCACAGTGATTCTAGAAGTTTCTAGAAGAAAATTGCATCAACGAACACTTTAAGTAAGGCAGATCAATAATATTGTTGAATATTAAATGTCCCCAACTATATTAATAAACTATTATAAATTATAAACACTACAGATAATTTGTTAGACACTACATCAAAAAAAAAAAAAGAGAACACTGAATACAAAGCATGCAGTTAGAGGAAAAAGAATATTTAAGTTAGAGCAATTAAGGCCGGTTTCGGGATTCGGGACAACAGATTAGATTTCGGGACTGTCCCGAATTTTTGGGGGGACGTCTGGTCACCCTAGCAGTGATGTCAGAGTCGTACTGCATTGAGGGACATATACGTGCCTGAAGTGTGCATTTGAAGTAGACTCGCTCCCTCTGTCAAAATCGAGGGAACGAGGGTCTGTCTATATAAACTTCCCTCTTTCACTTCTTGTCCAGTGTGGAAGTTTTTAGGGAAGTTTGCAAATGTGTGTCTAAAAGTGGACTGGAATGCCCTAATGGATAGTAAGTCCCCCCAAAAACCCCCAAGTGCTCCCTCTTAAATGCAGAATTCCAAGTATGGGTAACAACTTGGCCATCATCTTTCACTTTCAATAACATGGGAGCAGCCCACAGATCACTTCTGATTGGCTGACATAAATTAAGTACAAGTATTTAAGACACAGACTTGTACTGTAGCAGAATAACACATGCGGTTATATGGCTTATTCATCACTCATGTGATTTAAGGATTCAAGACCCTACTGTTGTATGATATAAGCAGAGAAGAGTTTGCTGTTTGGAGTCCAGATTCACTTCAGGTTAGTCAAATTTGACTTCATCACAATTAGAGTGTTAGCCAGTTAAAAATGACAAATGAGTGAAATCATTAATAAACATGATCCACACCGTCATGAAGTGACATTAGTGGTCTCTTTGTAAAATATAAAATTTTCGCATGACCATTTTAATGAAAATGTAGGCCACCTGAATGCAAGGGTTTTATTTTTAATGTAATATATAACTATATGTGTGTGAATTACACATTTGTGAGAAGTGACAAACACATATATTTTTTTAGGTTCTGTTTTATATTGAATATGTTCAATATTTGTATTATTCAATCATTTTAATGCTTCACTTGGCTTATTTAAATGATCAATTCAGCACTATCAATAGGCTGTGCTAGAAATGAAGAATAGTGGGAAAACAGTCTCTCCACATCCACTGTAGTGGGGAGATGCAGGTAGAGTGCAGCCAGTGGGGCAAGTGTTGGCATTCGATCTTCCCTTGCAGCCCACCACTCCACTGCACTAACCTCACCTGCATCACTCTTGTCCATGCAGATACCTTGCTCAAAGCAGGGACAACTTGGACATAATTCCTAATATCAGGTTTTAATGGCTGGATCAAAGATTGGTAGGGCTTTAAATAGTTCAGTGCAAGGATGTCTCTCCATCACAGCCTGAAGCTTGGTAGAACATTGTGCCATTGCTTCCTTAAACAGCTCTGAACAAGTGTACCGCTCATCGTCCATTTAACTCCTTCATCTGCTCTCTGGTGCGGGGACGCCAGTCCTCAGCCTCTGCGGTGCGACCATACTCAAATAGCATGCTGAGGTCCTCTATGACTGAAGATGGTGGCAGCCACGGGTCTGGAGGTTTCTTCAAGCTTGACCAGGGTGGCAAGTATATCAGAGCTGTGCTCAACGATGAAGGTGGCCTGAATTTTCAGGAGTTTTCCATTCTCCTCTAACACAACTCTAAGATCCCACACAGCCTTGAAGGACAGTGGAAGCGTTTGGAAGAAGCCGTGCAAAATATCAATGTTTTCTGCACAGCTTTTATCCAGGAACCCCATCTTGTCTGGACAGAAAACACTGGCATGAGAGGAGACAGTCCCTGCTGCATCATGAAGGCCCTCAATTTAAGACGACGCTGGGGTGACTGGCAGAAAACACGCTTTACCAAACCACACATCCGGTTCAGTTCTTCAAATGTGTCTGGAAACACTGCTAAAACTAACCGCAGAAGATGTGCAAGACAGGTGAAATGTTCAGCATTGGGAAAGAGGCCATAGAGAATCGTGTTATATGCTTTTTTTATATATATAACTTGCAGAATCTGTGAGAAAAGCCCATACATCATTGAAATCAATGTTGTTGGAGTTAAGACAGGAGATGACAGCCTGCGATACGGTACTGAAATTAACCTGATCTAAAAAAAATTCATCGGCTGCAACAGGTGACTTGCAAGGTGAATAGCAAGAGCACAACGGCCAATTTTACAGCACAATGTTAATTGTGATGTTTCATAAACTAATTATATAATGAATAATTAGTTTCTAATGGGGCCAGACCCTACAGGTGCAAGAGTGATAAAGCAACATCACTTTGTAATGTTAATTCAATGCAAATAGCGTTGATGCATCAACGCTGAGCCAATGTTGTATCAATGTCATCATGCTATCTTCAAGTCACCTGTATTTTAACATTTGTTTCTTTAAAGGAGGGTAAAGTGCTTGGGAATAAAGAAGGGGAAAGGAGCTGAAAACCTGACAAAGGTGCTTCTGGGAAGATCTGTGCCATCCTGGTAAATTAAAATCAAGCAACATGGGTAAGAAATGTCAATTATAAATGGATAACATCAATATCCTATACACATTATTGAGTATATTTTAAGATGTTTATATTTCTGTGATGATGACATTTCATGAAGACAATTCTTCTTTAATATAGCAGAGCCTGGAGAAGCAGTAGGAGACGAAAGGGCAACTCTACGATCACCACTAACATTAACAATAGCACTGACAGTTGCAGTTGTAGAGTCACTAGCACCAGGATCAGCAGCTTCAGGATCACTATCATCTGAAGCAACAGTGGCACCATCTGGAGGAGCAGTAGTACTAGTAAAGGCAGAAGTAATCGGAGGATTACCGGCAGAAGGAGCAGGAACAGGAATTAATGGACCACAACAGAATGGAGAATCACAGACACAATCAACTGTGAAGGTAAGAGATCTGGTCTGGCATCCTGTGCAATTTATACCTGTGCTTTCAATGCGAGTTGTTTTATAACTGGTACATTACTCTCAGTCCAAGGTTTGGGAGCAAATAACAAGAGAAGAAAATGTATAACAAAACAAACAAACAAAAAGTAAATTAAAGATATGGAAAAGAACAGGATGCTCCCCAGTCAACACGTGAGATCATGTGATAATCACAGTGACATCACATCAGTCTTGGTGATAGTCACAGTGTGAGTAATATATGAGTTTAATAAAGAAGTGCTACATTTTATCATTTAAACATGTGACCTTTCATGAAAATTCTATAATGCAAGAATGCCGCCACCATATGACGTCATAATATGCAAATTAGATGGGAAAATGTAATCCTCACATAAACTTTGTCTTCCTTAAATTTTTTCTCATTTACAGAAAGCAGAGGTGGAAAGTCCAGAGGTCAGAAAGTAAAAGTCCTGCCATATTTTTATTCCAGCCATGAACTCACACAGCAAAAACTACATTTTTAAATTAAC